AGGTGGGTCTCGAACCCGCGGGCTCAGGCAATCCGCTCACCTCAGCCTCCCAAAGGCGCGGGATTGCAGGTTGAGCCACCGAGCCCGGCCCAAGACCCTGTCTCTTAAAAAAGTAGTAATAGGCCAAGTGCAGTGGCTCACTCCTGTAATCCCAACACTTTAAGAGGCTGAGGCAGGAGGATCACTTGAGCCCAGGAGTTCGAGACCAGCCTGGGCATGATAGCAAGACATCGTCTCTACAAAAGAGTTAAAAAGTTAGCCAGGTGTGGTGGTGCATTTGTAGTCCCAGCTACTTGGAAGACTGAGACAGAAGGATCGCCTGAGCCCAGGAGGCAGAGGCTATGGTAAGCCATGATTGTGCCACTGCACTCCAGCCTGGGCGACAGAGCAAGACCCGACTCAAAAAAAAAAGTAATAAATAAATAATAAAGGAGATGAACAAATTCTGAAATTCCCTTTCTGAAACCTTGGACAGGACGTTTGCCTCTCCTTGGGCCACTTACAGACCAGAAGTGGCTCGGGACAGAGGAACAGCCTCCGCTGTCGGAGGCCACCTGCCACGGAAGTCCTCGCTCTCATCAAAGGCTCATCTCAAAGGGCATCTCCGGGAGACGAGCAGGGTGACGCATGCAGCGAGAAGCGTGCGTCCCCCCAGCGTGGCTGCTTGCTGAGTCCTCTTTGCTAATAATAACCTGCCAAGCGAGTGATTCAGCTGTGAGCACATCCCAGGGACTCGTCAGGATGCGAGAGAGCTTTGCCCCCAGAACGCCTACTTAGAAATGCACCCATTTCAGACCTTGACTTTAGATCGACTGGACCAAATCAGTTGTCCAAACCCCCACATTTGCTGGAGAGCACCTCCTTTCTCCGTCTCAGAATAACATCACCCAGGACACCTCAGTGACCTGGTGTCCTGTTTTATGGCCACATGGCAGTCTGTCTACCTGGACAACCAAGAGTCGGCTAGCTGGGGATAGATGTGGCCAGGATGGGGCTGGTCATCAGCCCACGCTTTTCTGAGCAGAGCAGGTTTCTACGTTTTGGAGAATAAGGCCCTGAGGGTAGATGCAGCTGTTCTGTTTGGGGCTGCAATGCAGGTCTCTCAACCCCTCAGACTCAAGGCTCTTCCCTAGTACACACTGCAGTGGGTGATGATGGCCAGTACTGAGTTCAGTGCTCAGCGACGAGAGGCCACTTGTCACATGGGGACAGCATTGCTGCCTGTTAATTCTCTTGAGGAGGCCAGGGAAGCTGAGACCTTGGTGGCTCAGTCACTTGCCTGACCTCTGGGAAGGATGTGGAAGGCATCGGGGAAACTGTGTATTCCCCCTGCCCCCTTCTGCCATCAGCCACCTTGCCATGGATGCCCTGTTACAAGCTGCAAATTCAAAAAGTCTGTATATTTAGACTATATATATATATATATATATATATATATATATATATATATATA